AGGCCCTAGCCAACTCAGCATCTCAGACGCCCTCCGATCTAGGACACGCACCTATCGTTAAGCCGCTTGGCAAGTGCAAGTTCGGTAACTGCAACCTTGCAACTCCCATCAAAAGCGGCGCCTGCTATCGTGAGTGGTGTCATATCCACTGTAAGGCGAGAGGTGGCTGCACGGGCACAGCAAAACATTGTGTCGATGGCAACTCCCTTGGTCGTCCCCTCACTCCTGAGGAGCAGGAGCAGGAGGAGCGCCAGCTGAGCGGTCGCTCTCAAGTCCCTGTCGATCTTCACCTATCCTCGATTCCTGTCCCTTCGTCCTCATCTGCAGGTTCCTCCGAGTCATCTACGGCTCCATCACTCCCTTCCTCGACTGTCACTCCTTCTTCTTTATCCCCTTCTTCTCTGGCTTTGTTATTCCCTAGCGCTTCGCAGCCATCACCTTCCACGCAGCCGCCGTCACCTTCCTTGCAGCCACCGCCTTCCTCGCAGCCACCACCTTCCACACAGCCACCACCTTCCACACAACCACCGCGGTCGCAGCAGGCAACCTCTTCGCTGATTACAAGACATCTCGAAGATCCTTGGGTGGATATATGGAAGACGAAGAAGGTCGACACGGTCATGAACGCCAACCAAGCGCACATCCAGACTGTGCTTGAGCAGGATAGCAAGAAACTACTGAATCTGCTCTTGTGGATTACAGTACGTTATTTTTTCTAATTTTTTCTACCGTGACGCTGATGCTTTTTGATTCATAGAACACACAACGGGAGAATGCCAAGCTCATGGGTTCGCGGTCTCTACCAAAGTGGCCCTATTTCTCGCTCATCGAATACATGTCTTCGGACGAGTCCGCCATACCTCCTCCTAGCGCTGAAGTCCACCGCATCGAGCAGTATGACCGTCGAAGGAGCGAGTGGGTCACCGTCTCAATCCACGCCTCGCACAAGGTCACCACCGGGGAGACCCTTATCTTTCGACTCCCTGGTGTCACTGATCCACAGGACGACTCAGGACTTCTTGGGCCACCACCACCTATCGACACCATCGACGATATCACTCTCGAGCGTGCCCGAATTCGTAAACAGTCACCAGTCGGCCGTATCCTCAAGCCCATTGATCCTTCCCTTGTTCGCCAGCGTCCTCGCTCACCGCGTCCCCGCTCACCGCTCCCCCGTGGTTCTCCTGATCTGCTCGCTATCATGGCGCAGGAAGCGGCGCAGGAAGCTCAACTTGAACAGCCATCTCAGCCTCCCTCACTCGAAGGCTCACCGGTAGAAATACCATGGCCGTCCCCATCGCTCAAGGCTCGCTATGTGTCACCACCCTCCTCCACATCGTCCTCTGTTTCACTGTCGCGCACCCGCCCGCTCTCACTCCTTGCTCAGGCCTTTGTAGGCATTGACGACGAGGCTGTTGTCATACTATCTGCCGTTGGACTCCCTCGAACGCCCGACCGCGCGCTCGCCTTACCTGGTCGTCCACCCCGGCCCGAAGTTCCTCAGCCCGAGCTTAGCGCCCCACTGCTGTACAGGTCTTGGCCCAGGGGCTGGCACGTCAATGGGGTCCTTGACGGCCTTCTCAAGGTCTTCGGCCCCGATCATCGCCACGAGCCAGCGCCCTCAGCATTCATGCGCGTGTTTGGCGTGCCATACAAGCGGACGACTGTGCGCGACGCCCTCCAGCGGTTTTCTACCCTTCCACAAGAGGAGCGGGTTGCCTTGTATCGCAACCAGCCTGGCACCTTCTGGGGTAAATTTAGTCGCAACGTTCCACTGAAGGAATACACGCCCTCCATCAAGCACGATTCCTCCAGCGATGGCGACTCCTCAGACGACAGCAAGTCCTTGGTCAAACGCGAGCCCTCGGACGTGCCCTCGGACGCGTCCTCCATCAAGCTTGAACCCTCCGTTGACGTGGAGCCTTCCATTAAACGTCTGCCTGCCTACGACATCGTTCTTTCCAGCGGGTCTTCGAGCCCTTCGCGCTCAACCTCTACCTCCGCACCTGCTGCCTCAAGTCGCGCTCGTTCGAAATGCAAGGCCAAGTCCCAGGCCTCTTCAAGTCGTCCTAGAGCCAAGCCCAGGCTGTCAAAGTCTCGCAAGTCGCAGAAGAAACCCGAGTACATCGAGATCTCAAGTGATCCCGAGATAATCGAGATTTCAAGTGATTCTTCCGATCTCCCTCGTTTCCTCCTAGCTAAAGTCAACAACGAGTCCAGTGAATACTTTGATATCTCAGGGATCAAGTCGGATGAGGACGAGGACGCTTGAGGGAGGGAAGGTTTGAGCTTTGTTCCTTAGTTTTTTCTCTCTTCATTAGTTCCTCTCTCTTCGTTATGTTAGTGTAGTCCCTTCTTCACATTCGTTTATGTGTACGCTCTTTGAATAAAACTCGGTGTTCATTTTAAAATGTGTAATTGATAATCTACTGCTTAGGCATAGGGGAATGGCATGGGTTGAGCTTTTGGGCATTCAGCCTCTGCACAACGTCTATGTTACGAAGACGAACCATCTCGTCGAGGAAGAAGTTAAATCGTACCGGCGTCATTTCGCGAACCATCGAATGATAAGAGCCCAACCACACGTTGACCTGCTCGGCGATGCTGGAGTTGAACCACCAACCGCTGCCGTCGTCTTTGAGAAGCTCGGGAAACAGTGCAGGGTTGCAGTAGCGCTGGCAAAAATCGTGCGTCGTCTTATGTTTGTTGAGGAAGTGAAATACGTCGACCGACATGCCAACGGTATCCCACCACGGATCCTTCATAGCCTGCTGTTTGGCATCGCACGCGGTGTCGTAGATCCAGTGTTCCGGCTTTCGCGCGCCAGGGATGCTGAACAATGTTTTAACAAAATGCTCGTTATGTTCAGTACGATACAGCGGAAGGAAATAGTAGAAATCAGCAACATACCAACACGTTTGACACGGCTTCAGCGCCGTTAAGAGTTGCACGGCCGACAATGACACCGCATGGACGTACAACTGTCTCTTCGCAGCAGGATCGGCGACGAGACAGGTGTATTTTGAGGTGTTTCGTTGTCTTACTCGGGCAGTTTGCTTGCTCGGCCTGTTCGTCGTTGACGCCTACGTTGGTGGGATTGGTGTCGACGTGGTGAATGAGATGGCCATCCTCGTCGAGGTGGAACCATTCATTAGCGTCGTTGGGGAGGGAATCAACGTCCCCGTTCATTTCTGCCGCCGGATTCGAGGTGCGCATACGAGCGAGGCGAGCTTTGAGCGTAAACATGCTTCTGCCTCGATCTCGGGACTTGATCTCCAGTTCCTGATGCTCGATATTGCTACAGGTATGGCTTGACGAGGAAGTCGGCGAGATCGCGCTGTCGCAGTCTGCGACTGCGCATATACCAGCAAGGTGTTGGTCGTTTTTGCAGAAGTGATCGGCGTTAGACTCGAGCGGTTCTGTGCATCGGAACTTCCTGCAAACATAGTGCCCAATGGTTACGCCATCGCTGACTGCAACCTGACACTTTCCTACTCTTTCTCAGTGAGA